CCTCTGCTTCCTCCCTTTGTAATAAAGCAGTGAATGTTTCCAACTCCACTGCCCTTTCAAAAATCAGTCTGCTTAGCCTTGGTCTCAACTCAAAAACAAAATATGGAAAATTATGAAAGAAACCAAATGGTTTCACTCCCATAAGGCTAATGTCTGTGTGATCTAAATGGTGTTTATGAAATCTGTCACATTTCTAAAAACATGCAAACTTGGTTGAAGGGCTGGATTCCCCCGGCCTTTAATTGAGGCTCAGATTTTTCCAAATTAAAGTCACACATCGCTCTTCTAAAACACAGTCTTGCCTGAGAGGCACACATTGCTGAACTTTAATTTCAAACCCTAAGTTTCAACAATTCATTAGTTTAAAATTTGATAGCCAGCAAGTACAGGCTAAAACATCTAGGTGCCAGATGTGCACTGCCACATGTTCTACTTGGCACACTCTGCAGTACATCAAGGTGCCAGTTTCTTTATCCACAATGTTTTGGGAGCTGGATCAATTTGAGAAAATGCTCAGTAAAGTTATGACATATATTATTAGAAAATGGATCCAAAATAGCATGTTGAGTAGGTAACGGATGAAGAGTGGCCTTTGCAGTATGCTCAGATTGATTGTGTCCCACATGGCTGCATGTTATTGCTGCCTAATAAAGATCACTGGAATAATTTTCTTGCAACTATACCATTAGCCTTCCCTTTCACTTGCTCAGCTAAAGAAACCTGCTTCTTACCGCCCTTCTTATCTTCCCTTTTTGTTATGTTTTGGTGTTCATCTCCTTCATGTTCATTGAATGATGGATAAGATATACTTGGTACCAACCCAAGTATATTTTATTTGGATTCGAGACACCTGATCTGTTGTATTTGAACATCAAATAGATCAGTTTATCTACTATAGTATAGTTATCCATGGCCATGCTCTGATGGTACCAGGCATGTCTCAGTCTAACCCTGCTTTTATCTTCACTATGGCAAGCTTGAGGAGATGTCTGGGTTGGCAAAAGCTGCAATAGAAAGACATTGCTGACTGTCGGAAGTGTTTCCGTTCCACCAGCTAATTCAATGGATTAATCTACAATGAATGCACATGTAGCATGCTGGCAAACACTAAAAATGTTGCTATTCTTCTAGAAACCGTACAAATATATTGCTGAACTCATGCCATTTCTTCAATACTGCTCTAACACTTTCCAGTTAAAAAAAAGAAAAGCATAATCTTAAACTGGAGCTATTTTTTAGAAATAATTACAGACAAACTATTTTTTGCAGCTATTTAATCAAACGTAGATGTTCAGAATGAAGAGTTAATGCAGAAGCAACAACATACTGATTCCTGCAACCTATTTATGATTGCCACATTCCACATTTTAAAAACTGCCACTTGGAATACTGTATTAATATGAAAGATCAAAAATTATTCCCAAAGAAATTTTTAGGAGACGTCCACCTGCTCAAGAAAGAGGTGTGCTGCTTTAGCAGATAGTTGAGGCAGCATTTATACTATAATATAAGCATGAAGTAATATCTAAGCATAGAATTAGCTGCCAAGTATGCAGAGGGTCTGATTCTGCTGACATGCTCCTTTTTCAGCAGTGGAGTTCTGATAATTCCAGTGGAGTTACTCACCATTTACAGGGTGTAAATAAGAGAACAATCAGGCCCTAGATCTCCAAAATCTCCTTATAGTCATTGTGGGTATGGATGATATATTGCTAGCAAAGGCTAGTGGGATAACAGTTTGAAAGCCATCTTAAGGAACTATTCAAGGGAATGATAGCAATCAGTAGTAGCTTACTGTGTAGGGTCTAATAACAGTGAAGCAGAATTGTACTCAGTTCTTGGCCCTGATTCTTATAGACACAGAAAGAAGCCCCTTTACACCACTCTGGCAGTGTAAAGGAGCCTTCAGATAGGTGTAACCCAATATGTTTGCAGCAGTCTTTCTTAAAACAGGTTTTACTATAGGAACACAGGAAAAAAAATCATTCTCACTCCCTGCTACACCATGTGTGTTACTTCTGTACTAGTAACAAAGTTTGTGTGATACAGTGAACTTCAGTCACCTATGATATTGATGAATATTTGTGGCTTGAGGCAGGGCTTTTAGGATAGAATAGCTTCTATTATGTTCCATATATTTTAAAATACCTTTAAATGGGTGTATATACATTCTTTCAGAGATGTGTAATTTAAATATTATTTCTATAATTTGACACTTTTCCAGGAACATGTACATACCTGACCAGAAGAATTGTATTCACAGAAATAAGGTTTCAGTCTCAGATTTTTCAACACCAAGAATTTGCTGCACAAATTATTTTCAAAGTTACAGTAACTCTGGGGCAGAGTTGGCCAGAATGCAACACTTCTGTTTCATAATAATATAATAAATAATAACAATAATTTATTATTATTATTTAAAGGTCAGTAAATGTTACTCGATGTAAGGGTGGCAGAATTGGACCTTGAATAATTAAATAGCTCCCAAACCACTGATTCAATAATGTAACACATGTGAGTATTAAGTATTCATTTCTTGACTGACTCTTCATTTGTTGTAGGTGAAGCAGAACTACCAGCCACTAGATGGCACTTCATTATGAAAGAGGTTTGCCAAGATAGCTTAAACTGATGAAACTTTTAACACAGATCAGAAAATCTAAGTTTAGCCCATCTCAAGCTAACTCATTTTTTTCACAAGCTAAAGAACTCTAGCTAGATTACCAAGACATTTTATAGCCTGGATTAGTATTAGTAAGTGAACCTTTCATATTCCATAATATCCATAACTTGAGCTGAGCAGAGGTTCAATCTTAGACTTTGTTTAAACTTCCCTTTCCGGTTATTACAGAAAAACTAAGAAACTCATAGCCCAGAGCTACATCTGACTATTATGAACACACTGCACACTCAGCAGCTTCCTTAATATCTTTGCCAAGGCTTGTCTACTGACATGATTTTCCAAGGAAAATTTTATATTGACTTACTTTTGATACAAACCATATAAACATTTTTCTTCAGACAGCAATTCAGCATGTCTGGAAATTCTCTTTTCAGACATGGAAATACTAGCTCTCAAACCCATCAATGCACTGTATATGCATTAACAATATTAATAGTCAACTCTCTGAATTATCTTTGTATTATTCATTTTTTGAGTATGTCCCTTGGGATGCGGGGTGGGAGAAGAAATAGGAGCAATTTCAAAAGAGTGAAAAGATTTTTGAACCTTGTGGAAAAGTACTTTCCAGAGTAAGGACAGTACTCTATATTCTGAGCAAACCAAAAAGAAATATTCAATTTCAGTTGCATTTACAAATTGATTGACTGATGTTTTACCAACTTCATCAAGCTAACCATCTCTCTCTAACCCATATGGAAACGAGCCCAAAAAGGAAAGGTTGCCATACCATGCACTTTGAATGTGCCAAACAAATGAGCCCTTAAGAATACGCCCTCACACTTCTTAGACATAACTGTTTCTTTCTATGTCTAAAATTGACCAATACTAGAACAAATGTGTTTTGCAACACAGTAAAGTCTGGGGACAACCAAAGTGAGGGGAAGGGCCTTGTCAGGGGATGACATGCAGGAGGGTTTTGTTGAAATGGGAGATCAAACTGAGGGTGATTTTCACTGTGGGTGGCTGGTGGCTAAGGATCCCATTATCTACATTGAAAAAACATGTTAATTTATTTTGTTATTGTAAGCAGAGAAGAGTCCCCACTGCATAAATTTCCTCTGGCTTTGCAATATTCTTTTTATTGACATTTGGAACTCATTTGGGCACTTCTTTGTTACAGATTGTAATATCTGACTTGCTCCTGAAAGAAACATTCATCCTAGGCTCCAATTGTTCCATTGCTCAAACATCCTGTTAGAAATATAGTAAACCCTGATGCACAGGTTGCTTTCTAGCTATGCTTTCACAGACATGTTGGTCATCAGTTTGGCACAGTAATCATTTCTAATAGTTTCCTTTTTCTGAACAGGGCTGGGTGTGGGTATAAAAAGTTTGGCTGCATTTGACTGCTCTGCATTTTATATTAATTTGCTGCCATTTATCAAATTATTTATTTTATTAGCTTCTTTCATGCATGAACATCCCTTTCACATTTAGAAGACAAAAGTATTATTTCACACCTTAAGAGTAAAAAAGATATGAAAAATAATGATGAAAATGTCTAGGGAATAGTACAGATCCCCAAAGCATCAAGTGTTCTTATGGAAACTCATCTGTTAACTATCATAGTTATCGTCACTCTAAGTTGAATGTGAGTGTAGAGTAATTTTTCACTATATTCCAGTGATCTGTTGCATTGCACATCCCCCTTAGAAGATCAGTTAGCTGTTAATTGAACTTCTAAGAGTTTGAAATAGCCTGCAGATGCGTGATAGAAAAGCTTTTAGCAGAGTGAATGCATTCATCCATTTGCTGTGTGTGAAAAATAAAAACTCAACAAGCTGGCAGATATTTCCTTGTGCAGTTTTACAAAAATGGTTTCAGCAACCTTGGTTACAATTTCTAAGGTTTTTTTCTATAGGCTAAAATCTTTAAAGCATATTCCTACAGTGTGAAAGGAGCACTTACTGTATGGCATAGAACAGCAATCTAGCAAAGAGCTGGAAACACAGGCTTATTACATGAGACAAATAACTTCCAGACTACATAGAGCTAGCATTCAAAACAAAATCATTAAAAAAAAAACACCCCAAACTTTCCAGAGCCTATAATATGAACACCAGAAAGAACAAGAACAACTGCAGCTTAAATAGAGAAAAATGTACACAGGAAAAGCAAAACATTTCTTACATTTAGGAACCTCCTGGTTAGTAATCAACATATTCTAGTATTCAGCTAAAAAACATTAGCTGTCTATCTCATAATGTTCAGTGAGTGAAGGAAAAGTATCTTGGGGAGATTTGGGAATTTCTTATGTGCTGTTAAGATGAATTGATGAAAATAAAAAATAAACCCATAAGAAGTTTGAATTACTCACCATCTTGTTGTGCCAAAGTAATTGAGGGTTGAAACACGGCAAGAATGAGCCAAGTTACTTTTTGCACAAAGCTCATCATGTCTAAATATTAGGCATGAGACTCTATGTGCAAAAATAAAAATGGGGGGAAAGAAAAATCAATTCAAAATAGCACCATCAATTGTTCCCTGCCCTTTCAGCACCGGGCCCTGCACAGAACTGAGCCACAGGCATTCCTTTGCTTTGGCCTTAAATAGGAAAAAGTTTGGCTTCTTTACTTTCCAGCCCCTTTCTGAAATATGAGAGGAAGACCAGTCCCCTTAACAGTAAAAGAAATGATTCATTTTTTTTCTTGGCCTTATAGAAGAAACAGCCAACTAAACTAGATAAAAAGCACATCTGGAGCTTTTGTATATGTATGCTGCACCCACCACACAAGTGTGTACTAGACTATATGATGTATGCACGAGTGTGTATGTGTTTGCACTGCATGTATGTGATGTGGGAAAGAAGTTAGAGTGGCTTTCTATGTGGTAATGCATTTTCCCCCTGTCAATTAGGACTCAGCCAAGATGTATAGTACTTGATGCTTCAGTAAAGTTCAACCCTGCAACTTCATAATGAAAATAAATAGTAGCTGTCTTGCATGATGGGAGACCACAGAAAATGAAGGCGTCCCGGAAGTTAAAGAAAGTGCACTTTTCATCCTCAGGAGTACAAGTCATACTAAATGAAAGTGGGGCCCTGAATGCTAGCAGCTGAATTTCAGTGCTGTTATAGTGCCGTCCTGCCATCTTCTCATCATGGTTGTAGTTTTGTACTGATCTCGGGAGTAACAAAACATGGAACATTCTGTGAGAAAAACAATGTATTCCAAAAATGGGTACTGACCTAAGACTAAAACCTTTCAATGAATTCACCCTAATTTTAGTACACAAAAGGAATGCAGAACAGTCACCTTTTCCTCAGTACGCCTGCCCCTCAATGCTGTAGCTTCATCTCAGAAAAAATCCTGAGTCTGTTGCATGTTTCCTTGTAATTCAAATTCCTTCTTGTTCCACATAACATAGGGCTTTATTGAAAATCAAAAGTTCGAGCATGTAAATTCCATCAGATATCCTGAGAGACATTTGCTTCATACACAAAAATTGCTATATAAGTGACCTTCATTTTAGGATTTGGGAGACTCCAAAATTAATGCAGATATTAGTGTGGAAAGCTGGTAAGGCTTGAGGAAATCACTCTATCATTGTTAAAACAATGGTCTGAACTGAATTAATTTCCTTCTTTGACAGAGTTAGTGGCCTGGTGGATAGGGGAGAAGTAGTTGGCATAATATTTCTTGATTTTAGTAAGGCTTTTGATACAGTCCCACGTGACATTCTCATAAGCAAACTAGGGAAATATGGTCTAGATCAGGGGTGGGCAAACTACGGCCCTGGCCCGTCAGGGCTATGGATCTGGCCCATGGGATTGCCAACCCCGCGCTGCTCCCAGAAGCGACTGACACCACGTCCCTGCGACACCTGGGAGGAGTGGGGGGACAGAGGGCACCACGTCCCTGCAGTCCCTGGGGGAGGGGGAGGCAGAGGGCTCCGCGCACTGCCCTCGCCTGCAGGCACCCCCCCCACAACTCCCATTGGCCGGGAACGGAGAACCACAGCCAATGGGAGCTTCAGGGGAGGTACCCGCAGGCAAGGGCAGCGCGCAGAGCCCTCTGCTTGTCCCCGTCCCCCAGGGACCACAGGGATGTGGTGCTGGCTGCTTCCAGGAGTGGCGTGGTAAGCGGTAAGCGGTGCCAGGCTGGAGTCCACACCCCACACCCCTGCCCTGAGCCCCCTCCCGCACTCCACACCGCCTCCTGCACCCCAACCCCCTGCCCTGAGCCCCTTCCTGCACACTGCCCCCCTCCCACACCCCAACCCCAGCTCTACATTCATGGCCCTGCATGCAATTTCCCTACCCAGATGCGACCCTCGGGCCAAAAAGTTTGCCCATCCCTGGTCTAGATGAAATTGCTATACAGTGGGTGAACAGCTGGTTGAAAGTCTATACTGAAAGAATAGCTACCACTGATTTGCTTGTCAAAAGGAGGGCACATCAAGTAGGGTTCCTCAGGGGTCAGTCCTGAGTCCGGTACTATTCCGTATTTTCATTAATGACTTGGATCATGGAGTGGAGAGTATGCTTATAACATTTGTGGCTGACACTAAGCAGAGGGGGAGGGAAGTGCAGGGACAGGACTTTGGAGGAAAGGATTCAAATTCAAGATGACTTTGACAAACTGGAGAATTGGTCTGAAATCAGCAAAATGAAATTCAATAAAGACAAGTGCAAAGTGTTACACCTAGGAAAGAAAAATCAAATGCACAACTACAAAATGGGGAATAACTGGCTAAGCACTAGTGCTGCTGAAAAGGATCTGGAGGTTATAGTGTCTCACAAATTGAAGATGAGTCAACGTGATGCAGTTGTGCAAAAGGCTAAAATCATTGTGGGGTGTAAGACATGAGAGGTAACTGGTGCACTGTACACTGGTGGGGCCTCACTTGGAGTACTGTGTCTAACTCTGGGTGCTGCACTTTAGGAAAGATATGAACAAGTTAGAAAGAGTCCAGAGGAAAGCAACAAAAATGATCAAAGGTTTGGAAAACCAGACCTATGAAGAAAGGTTAAAAAAACTAGGCATGTTAAGGCTTGAGAATAGACAACTCGGGTGGGGGTGGGGGAAGACCTGATAACACTCTTCAACGTAGGAGCTGTTATAAAGAAGATGGTGATCAATTGCTCTCCATGTCCATGAAGGAAGGACAAGAAATAATGGGCTTAATCTGCAGCAAAGGAGATTTAGATTAGATATTAGGAAAATCTTTCTAACTATAAGGGTAGTTAAGCTCTGGAATAGGCTTCAAAGGGAGGTTGTGCAATCTCTATCACTGAAGGTTTTGAAGAACAGTTTAAACAGGAGTGATGAGGAATGGTCTAGGTTTACTTGGTTCTGCCACAGCAGAGGGGCTGGACTTGATGATTTCTGGACGTCCCCATCAAGCCCTACATTTCTATGGTTCTTTAATTTTATGAAATTCATTTCTGCTGGAACTCAATTAATTTAAACAGATGAAGTTGTCCCCATTTTGTGTATGTGGACAGTATGGAATGTATGGACTCATTCACAAACACCATTTGTTCTTAAGTACTGTTGACATTACAACAACACAACAGGATCATCATTCATATCAATATGGTATTCGTGTACAGGGTATAGGGTGTAGGGTACAGACAGTTAACCTGGGAAAGGGACAAAGCGCTTTTGTGTGTGTGAGTATAAAAACAATCAAATGGGCCTGCTGTTATCGCTTAAGCTCATGCACAGTGTTGGGTCATGACTTCCTGAAGCTCCTCATCTGACAATGTCAAATAGGATTATGTAGGTGGAAGCAAGCAATGAAAGTAGTTTGAATTTTTTGATGTAGCTGAGTGGAATCACTTCAACATATTCTGAGGGACAATATGTGATGTTGCACTGAGGAAATTGTTGTACATTAAATACTTATGCAGTGGAGGTAGGTAGATAAGTTTCGAAGGAGTAACTGATTTTTTGCATGAATCACATGCTCCTAAGTTTTCCTAGTTGTCCATGGTGAATTAAAATGACACTGAATGTACTGTGTTATACGGTTTTAGGATTACATTAGCAGTTTATAAATTGCATAATAATCATGACCCAAGTTATGTTATTTCGTTTGTTCATTTAAACTAGCTACAATAGAAGATGCACATCCACCTGTTCCATTGAATTTCCTATGTAATAGCAAAGGGCTCAGATATTTGGTATTATCCGCATGCACATGAGATCCTTTTTTTTCCTTTCTAAATTGTATACAGGATCTTCATAAGAACAACAGCACATTTAAGCGCTGTTCTGATTTGCCTGGCTCTTCTTGGGCAAGATATATAAATGTGCTAGATTATGGAAGTGTCTGATATCCAATAAGGATTCAGATCCCGCCAATGAGTTGGAAACAAGACTTGTTATAGCTATAAGAACAACACAGCTGTGATTAACTTAGGTGAGTGAATGTCAGCCCTCTGCAAATACAGTCAAATACAGTCAGCTATTATTTTTGTCTGTTGTGGAACATGGTGTAACAGAACAAATATAAACTAATTACTATAGTTTTGTATAGCTCTTATTCTTTTTAGATATGGCTCTAGATCAGGCTACTAGACTGAACTCTGGGTAAGCTTGGATCCAAATTCAAAGTTCTTGGTTCTGTAAGACTGATGTGAACCAGAATATTGGATCCAGACCATCCTTAGCTTTGGGTGGTTCAGTTCCACATCTGAATTGATGACTCAGATCTATGACTAATGTTATAAATCCTTTTAGTCACTAGGGACTTAATTTTCTATGTTAATTTAATACCCACACATCACAGTAGTAATTTAACTACTAAATCACAGAAAAACATACATAAAAAGGGTTCAAAAAAGAGCTACAAGAATGCTTACAGATCTGGTAAATATGCCTTAAAATGGAGATTTAAGAAGCTGATTATATTTGGCTGATCAAACAGAAATATAAAAGGCAACTAGATCACGGTCTATAAGGACCTACATAGAGAGACAATATCTAATATTAGAGAGATTTTCTTCAAATAAAGGTTTACTAATCCAATGGCAGAAACTGAAGCTAAAAAAACAAACTAGAATAAGGCACAAATTTTTAACAGTGAAGATTTTTCAAATTTTTATGGTTATTTTACAGCTAAAAAATCAAAATTTCAATTTTTTTTGACTAGCTGTAAAATACATTTACAATACATTACATCCTGTCAACACTGATAGATCAAAATGGCATGGTACTCCTGAAAGAACAAGGCTTATGTGTGAAATTCATCCTGGTAGGTACACATGGATCTATGCACAGCTCAAGCCCCATTGAAGACCTATGTTGAAGTTTTCAGTGCATCTTAAATAGTGCATGGAGTCATGTTCAAGCACTCTGCACTGGGGTGAATTTCATATTGACCAAAAAGGGGAAGGGCAAATTGGGTACAAGCCAAACAATAGGAAACAATATTAATCAAGGCCCAGAGTATGACACCCCCCCCACAGACACACATTGGTGAGCAGTTATTCACATGAGTAGCCTCACTGACTTCATCCACTCTTGAGTCCCATCTCAACTTGTCCTCTTGAGTTGGGCGTCAGGTTTTCTTGGAATG